GATATTTTCAACTTCTTTTAAAACCCGCAAGTCCAATTGCTTTGATATTACATATATAGGTACTACATGTGGACCACTCTCAAATTTGTTCATTTCATGATGATATCTTTACTTTTCTAATTTTGGTGAATATTTTTGTCATTTTTGGTAAAAAGTGATATTTTCTTCTTTATGGTGAAAAATGATATTTTTGAATTCTTGTTTAAAACAGCAAGTCCCATTGCATTGATACTATGCATATTGTTCATTTTCTAATATATCTTCTGTTCTTTAATTGAAATGTGCATTGCTAACAGCGGAGCTATCTCAGCCGAGAGGCTGCTTGTTACTTTTTTGATTTCATCTTGAAAATCGAACGTCTTGAAAGTCTGATTGCTTTGATATATTATAGATATAGATGTTTCAGATTGACCTCTTTCAGATTTGTTCATTTTCTGAAGATACATGTAGCCTCAATTCTCAAATTGAAATGCGCATTGCTAACATCAGAGCTATGCTTGCACATAAAGGTTTTTAGTCCTTAAAAAAAAGGACTATTATTTTAGACCTTTTTGTCTATGTGTGTGTATCTGGCCTGTGCCATTTCTCAGACATGCAGTTGACCGATGCATAGATAACACATAATGTTATATGTGTACATATCAATTTTGTTGTTTGATTTGGTCAAGTATGGCTGACTGGCAGACATTATATAATTATATAAAATAGGGTAACTTCTAATACTTGTCTACAATTTTTTTTTTCAGTTAAACACAGTATGATAACAATACTGTGGCTGACTGTTGGCCATGTTGTCCCTATATGTTTCTCTTTATCAAAATCACTGTCTCAAATGTATACTTTTATGCTTATTATCAGTGACTTCCTTTGATTTCCAAATGTCAAGGCGCTAAAACTGATGAAACTGCCGGGTGTTGTATGTTCGAACTACATGTTGTATATGTGCGTTTGATATTTGTCCCATGTGTCGCAATATATGCACATGGATAAAATGTTGAATGAATGCGGTTATGATGACCTTCTTATTTGGAGCCTGTAAAATAATTCTATAGGCCGTGAGATTTGTTTGCCCCGCTTGTAATTTCACAAAAATAAATTTAAAGTGCGTTATGTCATTTTTTTGTTGAATATCAAAATTTACGATTCTGTGGTACATGTAATTTACAATCTTATTTTATTTTATAAAATTGCAGTGTAAACCTGGCCGTGGAACCAATGCTTTATATAAATTACTTTACCAAGAACCCAAGAAAATTTTACTGCTTGGTGCAGGGTGTAGTACTGTGTCCACCCGTGTTGCTGAAGCGGCTCGTATGTGGAATCTAATCGTGGTAAGTTTCGACCTGTCATGCTTTGCACGTATCAAAACGAATATATTCAAACTAAACTTTTGTGATAGTTCAAGGTTGATTGTATCTCATTTGAATAAACTATGTACAGCTTGTGATTCATGTGATGTAGATAAACACTAATCAGAAAAATGGCGATTAAGGAATAAGCCACTGTTGCATTCTGGGAAATCAAGAGATATTGCACAATTCACAACATTACAAGTATAAACACAAGTAGACATTATTCATGTTTAGGACCTTCTTAAAACAAACGAAAAATCGTGTGATGAAGATAAACACTAATCAGAAAAATGATGATTAATAAATAAACCACTGTTGCATACTGGGATATCAAGAGATAGTGTACAATTCACAACATACCACCTTATGCACAAGTATACATTATGCATGTTTAGGGCCTTCTTCTGAACAAACGAAAAATCATATGATGTAGATAAACACTAATCAGATAAATGACGATTAAGAAATAAACCACCGTTGCATACTGGGATATCAAGAGATATTGCACAATTCACAACATTACAAGTATAAACACAAGTAGACATTATTCATGTTTAGGGCCTTCTTCTGAACAAACGAAAAATCATATGATGTAGATAAACACTAATCAGATAAATGACGATTAAGAAATAAACCACCGTTGCATACTGGGATATCAAGAGATATTGCACAATTCACAACATTACAAGTATAAACACAAGTAGACATTATTCATGTTTAGGGCCTTCTTAAAACAAACGAAAAATCATATGATGTAGATAAACACTAATCAGATAAATGACGATTAAGAAATAAACCACTGTTGCATACTGGGATATCAAGAGATATTGTACAATTCACATTACTAGTATATGTACAAGTAGACATTATTCATGTTTAAGGCCCCGTCACACCATGACGTTCTGGCTAGCATTCTCTGGCGTTTGAGTAAACGTTGGTAGTCACCCAAAGTCGCTGGGACAGCGCCAGAAGAGCGCTGTGAGAACGCTAGTGAACGTCGGTAATCGTTGCTGATCGTCGGAAATCGGCGGAGAACGCTGATCCCAAAAAAAAGTTTTGAACATGCACAAAAGTTCTCATTTGAGACCAGCGTTCTTCAACGTTTATTTTTAAACGCTGTTAAACGTTCAATAACGTTCTTCGATCGTTTTGCTAACGTTCAATGCGTTCGACAATCGTTAGTCAGTCGTTGCTCTAGCGTTACTTAGTTGTTACCAATCGCTCGCTTTGCAGTGAACAACTCACTAGCGACCTGTCAACGACCGCTGAACGTACCCCTAGCGCACATAAAGCGTGCGACTAACGTCAAATTAACGACCTAACATTAGATACACGGTCAACATGCTCACTTAACGTTTTAAAGTCGTTCGTCGCGCGCTAGTGACACGTTAGCACACATAAATGATTTCCATGGGTATCTTACTTGGTCGCTCATTACACGCTTCTCGTGTGTTAGGAACACGCTAGTCATACGTTAGGCACTCGTTAATCGAACGCTGGATGTGTCTACCTCGTTTCAGAACACTAGGAAATTGGACGATTGGAACGTTCAGAGAACGCTGACCAAAACGTTATGGTGTGACGGAGCTATTGGGGCCTTCTTCTGAACAAACAAAAAATCATGTATTGTAGATAAACACTAATCAAAAAAATTACGATTATAGAATAAACCAATGTTGCATGCTGGGATATCAAGAGATATTGCACAATTCACAACATTACCATTATATGCACAAGTATACATTATTCATGTTTAGGGCCTTCTTTTGAATGAAAAATGTGGTTAATCATTTATTTAAACCTTGGCTTGCATAATTAAAAATGTGCAATGTTCAAATATGTTCATGCAATGTTATGGTATAACAGTTGAATGTACAATTCTGACATTACAGCTCTGAAGACAGTTAGTTGATATTTGTTATTTTCTGCATTTTCAGCTTTCATATGGTTCCAGTTCACCAGCACTCTCCAATAGAGACCGGTTTCCGACATTTTTTCGTACCCACCCGTCGGCTACAGTACATAATCCAACCAGAGTGCGTTTGTTCAAAGACTGGGAGTGGACTCAAATAGCAACGATACAAGAAACACAAGAAGTCTTTACATCGGTAAGTCAACGCACGTCATTGAATTATTTCTTCATATCTCAAAATGTTGCGCAATGACAAGTATAAAAGCTATAATTATACCTCTCACCGTAACGCCATAAGTTACAACGTGTCATAATGTTCGCGGTATTCTACGGGGGTATATTCATCCTACCATATTAGGAAATGCAAATTCTAAATATGGAATGATTATGCATGTAATCCTCTAATAATTAAAACAAACATGGCTGCCACCAGGCTTTGTCCGGACTTCACACAAAGAAGTTCGCTGATTCTGTTATAAACATTTTGGATTTCGGCATTCCCATGTATCCTTGTATAATGTATAATAATAAGGTATGTATGAAGTACACAGTCACATCAACCTCCATTATACAATAAGTTATATCCCATAATGCATTGCATATATGTGCAGTAACATGCTAAGAAGTACAAAATTTGAATTTGGCTTAAATTTCACTGTAATTTTGTTTATTCTATCTTCAGGAAACATAATAAATATGAATTACAGATCTTGGTAGTGCATTTAACTAGTTTACGTTCATAAAATCCACACTGTGCGAATCAGTATATGGCATCACATGTATGTATTAAAATTGTCATTTGCACTCTTTTCTGAGGGGGGTGCTCGGGTAAGTGCCCACCCCTAAAAAATCATGATTTTCTGAGTTGAGGATCCTTGGCACTAACGCGGTCGAGTACGGTATATGTATTTAGATATGATGTACTAGTATATTGTATGACAACTAATATCGAGGGTTTGTGAAATTTGCATAATTTGAATCTCACATAATTTCTGAATGTTCATGCATGATGCCAATATAATTCAGATGATCACATGACACTGTTACACAGTACTGAACATGGATTCAGCACGTGTACTTACAATTTGCACATATAAAATCAAGAGACAACAGCCTTGCTGGAAAAAAAATGTTTAAACGACTAATAATGCTTTGACCTTTGAACGCCTAAACATCAACGTCTGTCATGTACCCTTCGCAAAATAAACCTGCTCATTTTTAAACACAATGACCAAGCTATTATGCCCATTTCGTCTGGAATTGACAATGAAATACACGAATATGTGCAGTAATGTTGGTGAAAAATGAAGGCGTTTAGTGCATTAAATGAAACAACCCACTCGAGATGAGTGTATGAGAAAAATTAAAATACACGTACTTAGAAACCTAATACTCAATAGAATGATAGAGGTATTAATTTCTACGAATTTCTAGTGTATAAGAAAGTGTTATTAAAGTCTGCTGGGAAATGCAGATGTTCAGTCAAGGCGTTGTTTGGCTCATTATGGTTACGAGCATATGTTTGCGCTTGATGTTTAACGACACTGAACTGGTTGTGTTTTACATCGTCTTCCATCACTTCACATACATATGACCTTATCGTTTCTACTTGTGGGTATTCCCCGTCGTCTGTGTCTAACCTCTAACATTTACAGAGTGTGTGGCTAATTTTACCGAGGTTCGTTTTCTCTCGCTTGTTTAATGGGGTAAATTGGTCATTGAAAGTTTAATTTGCCCCCTCCATGCTTTTAGGGATGATGAGGATCATAAGGCAAATTAAAATGTCTTTGACACCGTGTTGTGGTAACGTTAGTTCATGAACCTTCCTTAATGTTATCTTTATAGCAATTAATTCGCTACTTCCATTTTTTTTTAAAACTGGTAATTTAGTTACAAATTTCAAATGTTGATCGAAAACTGCCAAATCATATAAGTCGTTTTGGTCAAAAATATGACCAAATTAAGGAATTTGGCAGAAACAATGAACACTGTGTAATTAGTTTATACCAAAAAATTAACTCCTAGGTATAAAAGAAAATGAAAATATCGTGTGTATGACTCAAATCTACATTCACATAGCACCAAAGCAACCAGCAATCCAGCCACCAATCATTCCAATTATGTTAGCAATACAATAACAAAACTAGCATTCCATGTCTTGAAACCGGATCTATGAGTAATTGACACATATGATAAAACAGTTTGTGATTGCATGCATTCACCGCAGACATAGTGCGATATAAAGCATTAAATCACCATAATGCCAATATGATAGAAAGATACACGTCTGCTTCAATGGAATATAGTTTCCGGGGGTTTTCTCCTGCAATTAAATGCATTATATGTACAGTCTATATTATAATAGCACTTTCACCTTTTGTGCGCCAAATTGTTCATGCTTCAAAATTGGTGTAAATTTGTTCAAATTTTCTGTAATTTTCACTGAATTCAGTCTTAATTTTGGACCAAACAGACTAAATATGATATTGCTTTTACTTTTTGATCAAAACATTTGAAAATTTTCGTCAGTATTTTTAAAGACTGTAAATGGAACTATTTCGTGGATGGTGACTGAAGTTGATTTTGGCCGCTAAAATGGTTTAATAAAGCACTCTTGGATCATTCATAACATAGTATTTTTATATACATTATTCTTATTATCTTGGTTATTTACTTTTCAGTTTCTGTGTGTGGTGAGTTGAATTTGCTCAACTGAAACAAGTTGCATGGTAATGTTTTGGGGCATGCTCAAAATGTGGTGTGTACAACACAAAAGATATAATGTATCCAGTAAAACTTAGGGACGACGTCAAAAGATCGATGTCGGATAAAAAACTTATATCCTTTAGTTTGGGGGTGGGGGTGGGGGGTTGACCTCAAAAAGTTTCCATCCTACAAAAACGATTTTATTTTTTAATGAAGTCAAAAAAATCTTGGAGTATTTGTAGTTCGTTTTTTTCTATCCAATCATGGACAGAAATAACCGAAAAGGGGAAAAAAAACAGAAAAATGGTTTGGTTCGAGTGTAAATTTGTGCGTCAAATGAGGTGCATTTGTAAAATCTGTTTACACCCACCCGGCAACCAACTGCTATGCAATACTACTGTCCGATTATCAATTTGTATTTAATGGTGAATGTAGTCTGACTTTTTGGGTGTTTTGTATGGAATTTATTTTCACTGATTTTTGACGAGTTGAATGTAAAATATAGGAAAAAAGGTATAATCGCTGGATTTCATTTTCACTGAATCATTCCTTCAGCGAAAATTAGTTCCAAGTGAAAATTAAGTATTTTACAGTATATTAATTATTTTGAGCATCTCTGTCATATCAAGAATTCACTATCGTCTGCCCTGTATCTGCCGTTTACATGTTCACCTGCTGGTTCGTACAATTGTTGTGGAATGTCATCAACAGAAATAATCTTCAAATCACACACACAATAACAATTACATGTGTTACTGGAAATTTGCTAAATATTGGATATGAACAGGCAGGGTGTCTGCAGTGACCATTAAAAATAGTGCAAATTCACCAATTATTCGCCAATTAATCGATTGGTGTGTTACTTTGTCAATAAATGCATCCAGTTGAAAAGTGAAAATCTGGGTCGGATATTTATGCTGATTTTTGTTAGATATTAATAATTCAGTGATTTATAACAATTTTAAACAGTGACATGTATATTTCATAAAAATCTCTGCTAGAAACTGTGACGCTATGGGGACTATGTATAAAAATACATATATAAATATTAGCTTTGAACAGTCTGTAATTATCCAGGTCTTGGGATTTTGATGTGTAATGAGAGAGAATATGAGAAATTCAAGATTTTCAGCATTGTTTTTAAATTAGAGTACTGTAGGATCGCAGTAGAAAAAAAAGCAAGTGGTTTTTAGTGAATCATTCTTTTTCAGAACATTTTTCAAAAACAATTTGCAATGAATATTCAAACAAATTATCAAATGGGAAGTGAATTTAATAATTGTTGTGATTGGAAGGACTGAAAATCATTGAACTTCTATTACATAATTCCCACAATTAGTGCATATTAAAATGTTATAATTTCACATAATAGTCTCCTTGAATGAATTTAGAGTGCAACTTTGAACCTCAGAAATGACATTCTAATGTCCTGAACTGGCACAAATATATTATTTATATGTAAGCTACATGTTTCATGAATTTTGTTACAGACAATTGAAGATCTCGAGAAACGTGTCAAGACAGCCGGGATTGAGATTGCGATGCGTCAGAGTTTTTTAACAAATCCAGCAAATGCAGTTAGGAATTTAAAGAGACAGGATGCACGGATTATAGTTGGTGTTTTCTATGAGAATATGGCGAGAAGAGTTTTTTGTGAGGTGAGTCAAATTTGTTTTTTATGTGATGTGAGGTGAGTCAAATTTGGTTTTTATGTGAGGTAAGGTGAGTCAAATTTGGTTTTTATGTGAGGTAAGGTGAGTCAAATTTGGTTTTTATGTGAGGTAAGGTGAGTCAAATTTGGTTTTTATGTGATGTGAGGTGAGTCAAATTTGGTTTTTATGTGAGGTAAGGTGAGTCAAATTTGGTTTTTATGTGATGGTGAGGTGAGTTAAATTTGGTTTTTATATGATGTGAGGTGAGTCAAATTTGGTTTTTATGTGATGTGATGTGATGTGAGGTGAGTCAAATTTGGTTTTTGAGTGATGTGAGGTGAGTCAAATTTGGTTTTATGTGAGGCGAGTCAAATTTGGTTTTATGTGATGTGAGGTTAGTCAAATTTGGTTTTTATCTGATGTGAGGTAAGTCAAATTTGGTTTTTGCTTGAGGTGAGTCAAATTTGATTTTTATGTGATGTGAGGTGAGTCAAATTTGGTTTTTATGTGAGGTAAGGTGAGTCAAATTTGGTTTTTATGTGAGGTAAGGTGAATCAAATTTGGTTTTTATGTGATGTGAGGTAAGTCAGATTTGGTTTTTATGTGATGTGAGTCAAATTTGGTTTTTATGTGATGTGAGGTGAGTCAAATTTGGTTTTTGTGTGGAATGAGGTGAGTCAAATTTGATTTTTATGTGATGTGAGGTGAGTCAAATTTGGTTTTTATGTGATGGTGAGGTGAGTTAAATTTGGTTTTTATATGATGTGAGGTGAGTCAAATTTGGTTTTTATGTGATGTGATGTGAGGTGAGTCAAATTTGGTTTTTGAGTGATGTGAGGTGAGTCAAATTTGGTTTTTATGTGAGGTAAGGTGAGTCAAATTTGGTTTTTATGTGATGGTGAGGTGAGTCAAATTTGATTTTTATGTGATGTGAGGTGAGTCAAATTTGGTTTTTATGTGATGGTGAGGTGAGTTAAATTTGGTTTTTATATGATGTGAGGTGAGTCAAATTTGGTTTTTATGTGAGGTAAGGTGAGTCAAATTTGGTTTTTATGTGATGGAGAGGTGAGTCAAATTTGATTTTTATGTGATGTGAGGTGAGTCAAATTTGGTTTTTATGTGATGGTGAGGTGAGTTAAATTTGGTTTTTATATGATGTGAGGTGAGTCAAATTTGGTTTTTATGTGATGTGATGTGATGTGAGGTGAGTCAAATTTGGTTTTTGAGTGATGTGAGGTGAGTCAAATTTGGTTTTTATGTGATATGAGGCGAGTCAAATTTGGTTTTTCATGTGAGGTGAGGTGAGGTAAATTTGAATGTGGGTGGGGTGAGCCAAATACTGTATGTGATGTGAGCCAGATTTGAACATTATGTGTGGTGAGTCAAATTTGAATATTATGTGAGGTGAGCCAGATTTTGACATTATGTGAGGTGAGCCAGATTTGAACATTATGTGTGGTGAGCCAGATTGGAACATTATGTGAGGTGATCCAGTTTGAACATTATGTAGGGTTAGCCAGATTTGAACACTATGTGTGGTGAGCCAGATTTGAAATGTGAGGTGAGTCATATTTAATTGGTGACTCTGATCGTTCCAGGTTTACAAAGAGAAGCTGTATGGACCAAAGTATGTCTGGTTCATCATTGGTTGGTACCCGGATAACTGGTACACAGTTCAAGATGATAAAATCAACTGTACAGCTGAACAGTTGAAAGAAGCATTGGAGGGACATCTCACAACAGAAGTGATGATGTTGAATCCTGACGACTCGCCTACTATATCAGGGAGAGTGAGTATTTAGTCGGATTGGGTTGGGTTGGGTCAAGTCTGGTTGACTGAGTCAGCTGAGTATGTGCCAATATGCAAGGAGTTTGCAGAGAAGTCTAACCCACTGTTTAATTGTCACAGCTACACAGATGGACACAGTTTCTGAAAATAACTGCAACAGCATTTGTCATGAATACAAAACGTTACTAAAAACAGCACTGAAAGATGTAATCATATAATGGCATTCAGTGTTTAAAATAATCAAATTTGGAAGTATGTGTAAGAGATAAGACTGCATTACTGTAATTTATATGTCTCTATTTTAGTTTCTGTTCACTGATTTGTTTGTCTGAATTAAACATCTTTTGAAACAGGCGCTGAATATAGATATAATTAATACTATAAACCACTTCAATTTTGTGAATTTTGTTGTAGTGAGTTTCAAGCATGTCACAGATTCCCAAAGATGTCTTCAAAATATCATTTAGCTAAATCTAAACCGTTTACAATGTGTCTCTACTTTTAGCTCCGCTGTCAGCAAAGTCAATGACGCAGAGCTCTTCATAATACTGGTTGGCCATCGTCGTGTGCCGTATGTACTGTAGTATGCAGTCTGTTGTCAACTTTTTACATTTTTGTATTCTTCTTGAAAACCGTTAAACATAGATTCTTGGGGGTAGTTCTGAGTCAGAATTGTTCATTTTATGATGACATCTTCAATTCTCAAATTTTGGTGAATATTTTGTCATTTTTGGTAAAAAGTTATATAATTTGTCGACTTCTTTTTAAAAACTGCAAGTGCAATTGCTTTGATATTACATTTATAGGTACTACATGTGGACCTTTCTCAGATTTGTTCATTTTGTGATGATATCTTCGTGATGTGCATTGCTAACAGCGAAGCTATCTCGGCTGACAGGCTGCTTGCTAAAATTTATTTAACATGTGTAATTTCAATTTCAATTTTAGCTTGTCCTCTTGAGTACAAACATCTTAGTAATTTGCCTTGATTGCTGTGGCAATTACTTGACAAGTTTAAAATTTCTTAAGATTAGTTTTTTGTAATTCAGAGACAATGTGTGTTTCCAGCTTCAACACCGTTAGGATATGTGTCCATTATGGTACTAAAGGAGCTTGATGGGGATAATTAAGATTCTTCAAAAAACGTCTCCGATGTTAGGTTTGTAAATTGAATAAATGTTCCCAATATAGACTTTTTAAGTAGTTTCTATGCTGAGTGCCAACAGGTTTAAATACAATAAGTGAAGGAAAAAAAGTATCATGACTCCATCAGGGTAAAATACTTTTCACCTCCAGACTTTCGTGCCTAAATTTGTCAGCACTTTTTTTCTTATATATTTCAATATTTTTGGAAATGAACTCCAATTTTGGAGCCAACAGACAAAATTGCAGTCAATTTTCAGTTTTTACATTGTGAAATTTTGATGAAAAGAGGGAACTGGTTGGTAAAAAGGTTACTGAAGCTGTTAAAAGAAAATTTGACAAGTGACAGTAAAGTACATGTATGAGGGTTTTAAGAATTTCAAAGATTAAGAAATTTAACGTATGATGAAAAACTGCTATAATAAGAAGAATATGTTTTTCCTGACATATTGAATTGTGGGTCATCGACTCCTTTAACCTGTTGCAGATTGCATCGTTTTTTTACATTATTTCTGGGTATATTTTCGACCCTGTCACTTCCAATGCGAAGATTATGGTTAAAATTAAGTTATCAAGCTAGGGCAGTTCTAAAAATCAACTTGTGAAGTTATAATTAAATATTTTTGTATTTTTGTGAAAAGGATATAAATTTTAATTATTCACAGCTGTGGCTACTTTACCCATAATACTTTGCTGGAGAATCAAGATGGTGGACTAAATAATACTGATGAAAAGTTGAATATCAAGAAAATGAAAGGTTGAATGAAATGAAAAAATAAAAAAAAAATGTAAAATTCATTCTCTTACATTTCTGAAGCTCATTCATCGTAGAGCATTATGTTATTTGCTGGCCTTCCCCTTTAAAAAAGCAAATTTAAAACCTCATTCTCGTCAACTTTAAAGCAGGTCAGTAGTTTGAACTTTACGTTCAATCAATCTACAAGTTACAGCAATGAAATGAAATCATCCTGTGACTGCTGTGAAAACTGTTGAATGAAAACAAACAAAAAAGTTGTTATGGGAATTGAAATCGTGTCTTAATCACAGTGTCTGCCCTGCCTCCCATATCATATGATATCAGCTGTGTCATCCATCAAACATGAAGGAAGCAATAATTGACATGTCTCGTCAACAAGTAATGGCGGTTAGCAGCAGTTTTAATTTTATATACCACCACCCCCTCCCTATTATATAATGATAGGGGTCAACCCCTACCCTGGGTGAGTGTGCCACAGACTCAATGGGAAGGCCAATTCCACTGGCCAAGATTCATTCACTAACGAATGCGACTTTGGGGGAACCTTGGTTAAGGTCCGCAGGTGCTTGTGTTTGACCGGGCCTGGTTGACGCCAGGATAGCGCATTAAAAAAGAGAGAGATGGCCACACAGCCCTGTCATGTCGTCCCAAACATGAATATGACTTCTGTGGCAAAATGCACTATGTGTCAGCACTAGCACCTGCAATTTGCACTTAAAAAAAAATGTCAGGAGAGACAACAGTAACACTCAATGTCTAGAACTGTCGCCTGGCACAAAAAATATTTTTGAAAACAAAACAAAAAAACATATAATGATAAACACAAGTCGTGACTTCATATGTCTCTGTGGTGTAACCTACTTTTGAATTATGATACATTCTTGTGTTTTTATCAACTGATGATATTCGGCCATTCACGTTATTAAATGAAGTCCGCACTAAGACTGTAGATTACTTATAAGTTTCTCTGAAAGCTGTAAATCGGTTTGACACATGAAAATTTATTGCCACTTAATGTTAAAATTTACCTTTCATCTCTGGTTGAAAAGCAGTAACTTATATGAATCTAATCTGCTAAAAACTTATCATGAAAAAAAAGGATATTATAGTTTTTGATTAAGCAAAAAAAAAATGTCACCAGATTTTTATCCATATTTATTTATTCCATTTTTTTGCATCCATATGTATATATTCATCCATTTAGTAAAAATAAATTGCTAGCCAAAAATAAAAAAGTCAGTGTACCAAATATCTTGTGGTTTAGGCTCCAAAAGTTCTTGGACTAAACACATCATAATAGGAGTTATAATAGTCTCTTGCATACTTTGTGTAAACTGGTAGAGCATGTCACGGATATAAATGTGCCTACGTGAATAGTGGATTAAATTGCCGTAATGGCATTATAATAAGTTGATAGTCAGGACTGATATGGGTAGTGTATGTTTCCTCTATGTCGTGATGCGCTGTGTTCGAGTCCCATGTGACAAAGAATAGAAATACATTGTTTATTTATACAAAATTTGAACAAGCGTTACATGACAACGATCGCCCTTCAAAAGTTTTTCTTGTGACATTAACAATAATATAATAGTTTATTAACTCAACGTTGGGGGCGCTCTACTCTTTAAAATATCTTCAGACAAATCTCAATTATTTTTTGGCTGAGCTGGATTGATTGCATAATTTAACAATACAAAGTCACAAAAAGAATTGCTAGTGGGTCCTTGAAAAGTCATTCAGATTTAAAGTTGTGTGTTTTTTTGGCTGGTAGCAATAAGATGGCCAGTCAGATGCATGCTTGCAATATTTGTTATGGGGAATCAAGTTTTGATTGTACACAGTTAAAAGATACTTGTATTGATTTCAATATTGCTTCTAAATTATACATGTATGGCATAATTAAAGTTAATTAAAGCAGTTTGCAGTGAGTCAATCTCCTTGGTAACAACATGGGTGAAATATGTTAAAAACTTACTTAAAAGTTACTAAGCAAGCTACTGTAAAATGATTAATTTTCACTGGGTTTAAATTTCACTGATTTAGCATTTCAGGCATATTCAGTGGGTTTTAAATTCACGGTTTTATCATTTAGATAATGTGTTCTATGCTAAATTTTACATATTCACTGGGTTTTAATTTAGCGCATTTTCTAGTCAGCGAAATAAGCAAAAATTAAAACCCAGTGAATAATTAACCCCTTTATAGTACTATAACAACCTATATATCATCTGAAAGCTTAGATATAGGCGAATACAGTATTACATATATGTATGATGTAACGATGATGTTTAAGGGATTACTTGACAGTTAATTGCACTGTTATACAAAACTGCCTTTTTTTTCTTTTTTCAAATTATTTAAAACACCATCTTTTTCTAATTATGTGAATGATCTTATATGTAAGCTTTAGATAGTATATAGGTTGTTGAAGTAGTATGCTTAGTAACTTTCAAAGAATTTATGAATCGCAGTTCAATTTTTAATTCGACGCCAGCTGCTACATGTACCTTAAATCTGGTCAATAATTGTGTTTTCTTTTTATGAAGTAAAGTTAGAGAAGTATCTTATTAAAAAATAAAGAATATTGGCAATTTAGTATTGGTTAGATTGAGTTGTATCTATGGTGATCAAGAGATAAGTGTATCTGATGAGGATTCCCAACATCCATGTCGAAAATAACCTCGCACAAACTCAAAATTGTTCGAGAGGGTATGAAATTCTTATTACCTTATGGTATGTGAGTTCCATGCACATGTCAATCAAACAGTGTGTTAACCAATAACATTGCAGAAAATTGTTCATCAATGTGAAAATGTTTGTTTGTAGTAACATACGACTGTATTCAAGAATGTAAAAAAAATTCAATACAAATACATAAGGACATGAGAATAAGCGTTAGTGTTTCTAGAAATATACATATGTCTGGTACGATCTTGAGATCAGTCCTAGGATTGTTAATAGGTGTCATCACAGTTACCTAACTCATCTTTTATCCAATCTTCATTATACACCTGTATCATGTTTAAAATGTTACATTCACACACAAAGCTTTTTACATGTGTTTTTATACATTGCAAGCGACCCATATCAAACACCGTACTTTGCGACAACTGTGCGTGTCGTTTTATCATTTATATCTATCTTTTCAGACATCTCAACAGTTCTTAAAAGAATTCAAAACAAAGATTCCTGATCCAAATGTATCTGGTTATCCTGAGGCTCCTCTGGCGTATGATGCTGTCTGGTCCCTGGCTCTTGCTCTCGACAAGTGAGTAAACGTAATTATGTAATTATACCGTAATAGTTTTAGAAACACACATAACCCAAAAATTGTACTGTATCATTAACAAATTTCATGTTTTTTTTTCAACAATTTGCCCTGCATGATCTAGTGCTTTAAAATATTCGTTCGCAGCAAAAAAATCAAAATTTACATCTATTTTATAGAAAACTGAAAGAAATCAAATTTGGTGTATTGAACTTTACTCTCAGTGTATCTGCTTTGTTGCTACAATTATCATTTCTGTTTCTATAAATATGAATCAGAAATCATGTGTAATACACTCTTAGTTATGCTATACTGTTAACTCTTCATCACAATTTACAAAATAGTCCTGTTTATAGTCTGCACTTGCCTCAGAAAATTAGGACAAAAATAGCCCAATTTTTTGAGTAAAAACTGTAAATTGACTCAAATTTTGTTTGTTGGCTCCAAAATTGGGTTTCATATCCAAAAATATAAAGAATTTAAGAAAAAAGTGCAGAAAAATTTGGGCAAGATAATCTGATTGTGAAAAGGTTAATTGTCCAATGCTAAAAAATTTCATAATTACATGCGTTCGTTCATCTCAAAATTCATGGAAATTTACAGAATATTTGTTTCATACATTTCTATAAAATTACTTCACTTTAACTTTATTACTTCTTTTTTAGAACTATGAAACGTCTTGCTAAAAAAGGAATGAAACTTGAAGATTATAATTATGACGAGACAATAGCAGCCGAGATCTATAAAGCAATGAATGAAACAGATTTTTTTGGAGTTTCGGTGAGCGTTTAATTTTCTCCAGAAGGCAGTTTATCGTGACCTTTAACAATGCATGTTTGCGGTGATTGCAAAGTTATTTTTATCTTTCTATATTCACTCTATTGACGTTAATTTGTGTGCGCTGATAATTTAAAAAAAACATTTGATATAACAAAATTCTGATGATGTGTATATAATATTAAAAATTAGTCAGGAATTGTAATTGTTACATGTGCACACAAATATTGCCAGCATTTTTATGAGGAAATTTAATACACTGTTACCAGGAAATTAAGAACCGGTAAAATTATTGTATCTTTACCCGATTCTTTTGATTTGAAAAGGGTTCTATTTTTAGACCTCTTCCTGTGTGCATAGTGTGATATTGTCACAATTTTAGATAATTTTAATCGCCCTGAGGTCGGGAATCTAATTATAGAATTCAATGCATGGTACATATTCTTTGTTTTGTGTTGAATTCTCTATGATAGACTTAAAAAGGAAGTCAGGAAAAAAGATTTTTAAGTTAGCACGTTAGAAAACTCAATAAAAAGTAATACCGTCATGATTGGATATATTTCTGATAATATTTAGCTTGTGTTGTCACACGTAATCCTGTGTAGTTTCGCGGTTGCGTGTACTGTAATAAAATAAACATTAATCTTTTTCCTGCTTCTATAAAGTCATTGGTATTTTGTCAACTTTCAGGTTTTACAAAATTAGTTTCAGTCCTAGAAAAAAAATCATAGCTAGTCTTGTTGCCATGAAGACAGTGATTTTAGTTTTTTCCTTGAATTTTTTTTTTCTCAAATATGTTAGCTAAACTGTAGGTCTAATTGTCTTTACGTCTACATTTTGTTTTATTTCAGGGTCCGGTCGCATTCTCGGCTACTGGAGACAGATTAGCGTGGACGCAGATTGAACAAATGATTAGTACGTATTAAACTCGTATTGTGTTGGGGGAAAGCGAGTATGATTTAAAAAAAAGTTTCCTTTAACAAATCAACCTCTGAAAGCCTCAACAGAGATACATGTGTAGTCATAGTCATATCTATTATATGAAAAAGCTACAATAGGCGATGTGTTACTTTCAAAAAGTTGCTTTTATAACGTCAAATGAAACTGAACCATTCATCGTTGAACTGTCTGATGCATGTATTGAGTTATTGCACAGTCCCTCAACTGTGGTTATTGAAATCTCATGAACTGTTTTACAGAATATCCCATGATGCATTGCCTGTGTAAGAAATCACATGATACGTTTTAACCAGTAATCAGGCTTTTTTGGTTATTGTGATGATTGCCTAAAAATTTTTCAATTTTAATCCAAATCTTTAAATGTCATTTGAAAATGGTCGTATCCTCGAGCGTCTGCTCATTGCGATTGAAAGTGCTGAAGATAAAACAAAATAATAGCTGAAAATATTCTTAAGAATATTGCTATGTTGCTAAAGGGAGATAATATTGAGATATCAGTTTTCCTGATCGGTTTATTTTGATGCCCGATATTCAAATAATGCACTCGAGCTGTATGAGATCGCCTTTGTGCTTTCATGCATTTCATAATTTTTATTTTGGAGACACTGAAATTGCAATTTTGCATTTTCTAATTTTAGTTATTTTATCTTCTTTTTTTTTCATCTTACAGATGGCACATATCATAAAGTAGGTTTTTATGGTAGTCGAAGTGATAACTTAACATGGGTCAGACCTGTCAAATGGATAGGTAAGTAACAACCTCTGCTATTGGCCGAGGGTTATAAATAAGTAGATCACTAGCCAATCAAAATACATGTCTCTAATACTCGGTAGATGAAGATTGAAATAAGTTATTAGTAAATTGGATTTTGATAGATGATGGTGGGGAAATGCTACGAGTTCAATCCATCAATATTATAGCTATCTCTGTAGAGTGATTAATAGCCAACCAAAGTATTGAATTCAGAGAAACTCATTTATTTTTGTTGCTCTTGAAATGATCAGAGATTCTTCATCAGATTTCCCGAAGCTCTTATTTTTAAGTTCTTTGTTATGTAGCAGGAGTGCATATTTTGAACAAACCCTTGAAAGGAATTCATAAAAATGTGATTGACTGCCCACTTGAGACATTTCTGTTTAGTTGTTTGCGATTGAGTATTCATGAAGTTTGGAACACATTAACTCATAAAAGCTCATTTTTTTAAGAAAAACGCAAAATATTTGTTACTTTTTAAAATAATGTCACAACATTTTTATTATACATTCATGTGGGACTAATGGAAAACATACTGAAGATGAAATTATTCTTTAATATTAGAATACTAACCATTGAACACCAAAATCAAATTTCTTGAAAACAAACTGGCACAATTATTTCAAAGATGTTTATCAAGAGCTGTAGTCAGTGTCCTTTTGGTCCAAATTGACAAAAAAATTATCGAAAAATAGACAGGAACTTATAGATGACCTCATTGTGTTTCGCGAACATGCATTCTAACCTATCTTGGCCATGCCTGTGCTTATCACATTTTAACTTCACACATACATTATACATATTGAGAGAAGTATGTCCATCTACCGGTATTTGTGTCATGGATCCATAATCCAAGATGGCCAAATGGCGGCCATTTTTATGAATCAAGCATTTCTGCCATTCCAAAACCGGATCTCAGTCGTGTATGCATGGTTTTCATTCAAACTTCGTACATTGGAAATCATGAACCATAATTTTTTTTCAAATTGAATTAAAAATGGCCAAACGACAGACATTTTGTACTAACAGATGCTGTTTTAGAGCCATTACATTGTATACCATGTTACACATACTAACATGCATTATTTTGTTTTGATTCTAACGACTGACTCATTTTAGTGTTGTTTACTATTGAACAACAGCATTGACAGTGGAAACCAAGTCATCTGTTTGTGTGCATAATATTCTTGTTCTGTGTTTCCATAGGTGGAAGTCCCCCTGCTGATCAGACACTAGTGAAAGAACAATTAAACGTCATTTCTATGAATTTGTACGCCGCCATGTGTGCTCTAGCATCCTTGGCTATTATTGCAGCCGTGGCCTCCCTTACTTTTAATATATGGTTTAGAAAAACAAGGTAGGTACTTTTGTACAAAGATGAATCATTATTTCTGTTAGAAAGGGGGTAAATTAGATTGGTGGGGGTGGGAAATGTTAATATTGATAAAATGTGCAAAAATTGCTATTAAGGCCAGACATTTTTTATTCATTGTTTCTCGAGTTTTTATAAGGCAACTTTTTTGAGGAGGGCGGGAAAAAAAATTTCCATTAGATTTTTGTGATTCTCAAAGAATTGTAAGTGAGATCATTGATCGGAGAGAAGAAATGAAATACAATTTTATTCCATGTACAACCTTGTTTCTCATCTGCGTGACACTTCGGTACTTTGATCATGATACTCTAACGAAAATGCAACTTGGATTTGTTATGCGACGGGCGGTAAAAAAATGAACATAAAAATAACATTTTTTAGCATTTTTTTTGTGCTTAACAAGTCGGCAGGCGCGAGAAATTACGCTGAAATAAAATTTTATTTTTATTTCATTTTCGGCTCATGTACATTCGGCGGGTTCGCGAAACAAGGGATAATAAAAGTCTGGCCTAATATATAATGCATTTTTTTCTGATATTACACTATTAGCTTAAAAAATAAAGTTAGCACAAATTTCTCCCCCCCCCCCCCACAAAAATAATGGTCAAGCCCTAGATTAATCTGTCTGAAATTGTGTGTTGAACCATGTCAGTCACACTGCGTCAAGTTCAGTGTGGGTCCCATGTGATGTTTACAATGTGTCTTCCATATTGGTCCCATACAACATATATAATGCGTTAAATTCAGTTTAGGTGTCTTGCAACGCATACAACACGACATATTTGATATGCGTCTAGATACATGAAATTTTAATACCTGCTCCATGGCAACTAATATTATAAACACTCAATAATTATATTCTATATTTGCACATGGTCATTATCATAATAATAATAATAATAAATAAGTTATTGAAATCATATTCTTATTTGGAATCTAGATGAAAATATAATAAAGTTGGAGCATAAAAAAAAAGTGAATCATATGACAATGGTTTTTTTGTGACAGAGGAAATTGACAACATACACGGAAAGAGCAAAAGGTCTGGAGTTTTTTTACAAATATGACATGTATTGTTAGAGTCTAGTGTGACATGTACAACACATGTCAAATACATTGTTTTGTGCACTTTTGATCAATGCCTTTCAAAATAATAACCTGTTTGCGTCTGGTCCTTGCACATGACTCTTTCCTCTGATCTCCCAAGCTTGCTGTTCCCCATAGCTGTGAACTAACTTGTTTATTTCACTTTATTTGCAGGTACATTCAGCTGTCTCACCCAAGTCTTAATAATCTCATCATTGTTGGCTGTATAGTGTGTCTTAGTTGTGTCTTTTTATTGGGTCTTGATGGCAAGTTTGTATCTCCTGATGTTTATCCAGTCATTTGCCAGGTAAGTTAACCTAACCTGCTGATTTACCTTGTAAGGCCATTCTAATTACCGTATGAATGTATGCAAATTACCTTCTAAAGGACTGCTTAAACTCTAACCAAGTAAACCATCTTATATGTCAAATGCCTTATAAGGAAATTCTAATTACCATATCAAGATATGCAAATTACCTAATAAGTATATAACCTGCTGGTTTACCTTATTACTCTATTATTGGCTTTTCTTTTTTCAATTTTCTGAGTTCAAAATTTGTGATACTATTTAGTAAATCTACTATTAATATTTTTTTTTTTTAACAAAAACAACATCGTTTTCACACATTTTATGTTTTCAGTTTGTTTGATCTTGGAGTGATTTCCAAAATGTGAATGTAACTTTATTTGGTAGCATTCTAATGAAATATGTTAGGGTCTTATTAAACTTTTATGAAATCATCCTAAAGAGGGCAATAAATCTATAAAATTTGTACAAAAATGAATTAAGGCTATATACTACTTATCCAGAAGGTCAAATAAATTGCTCCAGATTTGTTCCAAATGAAGTCAGGATATTATCCTCCGCGGTGACTGGAAGGAAAGAATGCGTTATTGCGACCGTTTTCTATCTATGACAACAAAGCAATGATCTAGAATCGTGTATAGTTACCATGGCAACATGAACAACATTTGAAATGAAAACAAATGAAACAATCTTTGGTTATCCCATGGGAAACATGGTTTATTATAACGTACTGTAGAATACTTTATTTTCGCTTGGAATTTATTTTCGCTATTTTCGCTGAAGGGATGATTCCGTGAAAATAAAATCCAGCGAATATACTTTTTTTCCTATATTTCACATTAAACTCATAAAAGATCAGTGAAAATAAGTTCCATACAAAATGCCCAAAAAGCCTTTTCAGCGAAAATTAATTCCAGCGAAAATAAAGTATTCCACAGTATCTGATAACTATGTTTGTGATGTTACATGTATCTCAGGAGATTCTGCCACGATATGATGATGGGTACTTTGTAACGAACTGGGAACTCGTTACAACTGCGAAAAGCTTGTAAATCTCCAGAAATTGATTGCATGAACATGTTTTTTGGTCTCCGAAAATGTGTTTTCAGTTGATTACCCTATTTCTGTTGTATACCGGGATTACCCACAATTCTATGTTGATGTACCTTGGTCATTTATTACTTAGTATTACCCACAATTCTCAAGTCAATGTGAAGCTACTCACAAGATTGTACCTGATTGGCTACCCAACCCTAACACTCAACAGTCAGCTAGCAGTTTGTTTATTTCATTTTATCAAATTCTGCCTTGTATAATGTACATGTATACGCTTCAACTGCAATTCTTTGTGGATTTATTTTGGTACTTTTCAGTTAATTACCTTGTACCTGTTTCAGATAGCCCACACTCCTTTATTCATGTAGCTTGGTATCCAAACAAAAGGAGGTAATTTTCAATTTCAATTATTTGTGATGTTGATTCCATAGCAACTCATGTGTTTTCCTCTTTATCTTGTCTCCCAGCTAAATGCATGGGTGTTATGCATTGGATTTAGTTTAGCGTATGGTGCTATGTTCAGCAAAGTATGGCGAGTACACAGGCTCAGCACCAATGAAAAAGCATCCGAGAGTGATGACAAAAAGAGAAGAACAGATTCCAAAAAAAATACAAAAAAGGTAAATTTAATACTTTCTGTTTTTTGTTTCTTATATCACTTCAATTCCCAGAACGAATTCCCAGGTTCACATTCTTCATGGCAGGCAGGTGGAAACAAAGAGATTGTAACAGTGATCACATGTAGTAATGTCAGGTAACATACAAAGTATCGTAACAGTAATCACATGTAGTAATGTCAGGTAACATACAAAGTATTGTAACAGTAATCACATACAGTAATGTCAGGTAACATACAAAGTATTGTAACAGTAATCACATACAGTAATGTCAGGTAACATACAAAGTATTGTAACAGTAATCACATGTAGTAATGTCAGGTAACATACAAAGTATTGTAACAGTAATCACATGTAGTAATGTCAGGTAACATACAAAGTATTGTAACAGTAATCACATGTAGTAATGTCAGGTAACATACAAAGTATCGTAACAGTAATCACATGTAGTAATGTCAGGTAACATACAAAGTATTGTAACAGTAATCACATACAGTAATGTCAGGTAACATACAAAGTATTGTAACAGTAATCACATACAGTAATGTCAGGTAACATACAAAGTATTGTAACAGTAATCACATGTAGTAATGTCAGGTAACATACAAAGTATTGTAACAGTAATCACATGTAGTAATGTCAGGTAACATACAAAGTATTGTAACAGTAATCACATGTAGTAATGTCAGGTAACATACAAAGTATTGTAACAGTAATCACATGTAGTAATGTCAGGTAACATACAAAGTATTGTAACAGTAATCACATACAGTAATGTCCAGTAACATACAAAGTATCGTAACAGTACTCACATACAGTAATGCCAGGTAATATACAAAGTATTGTAACATTACTCACATACAGTAATGTCCAGTAACATACAAAGTATTGTAACAGTAATCACATACAGTAATGCCAGGTAACATTCAAAGTATTGTAACACTACTCACATACAGTAATGTCAGGTAACATACAAAGTATTGTAACATTACTCACATACAGTAATGTCCAGTAACATACAAAGTATTGTAACACTA